TGGAAATCCTGTATGAAAGATTCACACCGAATAAAAAATAACCTTCTGGTTTATTTCAGGTTTATGTTTGTGAGGGTCCAGACAGTGAGGGATTGGGGTTTTTGAAAGGAAATTCCATACAAGAAATCCAGCTGTTACATCTGTGAGTAATTGTGGGCAAGGCAGTTACAGGAATATATAAGTCAGCATACTTCCAGCCTCTAGTTTAGAACTTCAGAGCTAATAGTCACTCTAGAGGACTAAGTGAAAAAATCTAAAAAAAAAAAATTTAAAAACACACTACAAAATAGCACAAAAACGGTATTGTAGTTCACAGTCACACAGCTGTAACATAGAATGTAGCAAGTGTTGCAATGTTCTGCAGAGCTTACAGTTTAAACTGGACTTCAGTAAACAATGAAAGGAGCTGTTTTACCTGTCAAAGGATTTGTATTTCTCTCCAGCCAGACATTTACACAGTTCTGCTTGAAAGCACAGCCAGGCTGGTGACCTTGCTTCTTCTCTAGTGCCATTAAGCAACCAAGCTAGGTCACCTACCCACCCCCAGCCCATGACTGGATAGTGAACAAGCAGAAAAGGGCTGAGGTCATCTCTCAGCTTTTTCCTTCTGTCAGCATGATCTTTGTCAGCATATGTGCATGCTGAAGAGCATTTGTCCCAGTACTGTCCTTATCTCTCTCAATCTGAGTGCTACTGTACAGCTGATTCGAAGAGGTTTTAAAAAAAGGAGAAATTAAAATAAAGTCAGGTACTTGTATGAATTGCTTTTACAAATTCATGTACTTTTTTTTGCAATTCAATAACTATGTAACTGCATTAATTGGTGTTCCTTTTTTTATAGCAGCCCGAAGTTCAGCTTCAAGACCTACAGTGGGGATCGAAAGTTTGGGCACCCCGGCTAAAAATTTGTATTAATGTGCATAAAGAAGCCAAGGAAAGATGGAAAAATCTCCAAAAGGCATCAAATTACAGATTAGACATTCTTATAATATGTCAACAAAAGTTAGATTTTATTTCCATCATTTACACTTTCAAAATAACAGAAAACAAAAAAATGGCGTCTGCAAAAGTTTGGGCACCCTGCAGAGTTAATATCTTGTACTGCCCCCTTTGGCAAGTATCACAGCTTGTAAACGCTTTTTGTAGCCAGCCAAGAGTCTTTCAATTCTTGTTTAAGGTATCTTTGCCCATTCTTCCTTACAAAAGTCTTCCAGTTCTTTGAGATTTCTGAGCTGCCTGTCACGCACTGCTCTTTTAAGGTCTATCCATAGATTTTCAGTTATGTTGAGGTCAGGAGATTGTGAAGGCCATGGCAAAACCTTCAGTTTACGCCTCTTGATGTAATCCACCGTGGATTTCGAGGTGTGTTTAGGATCATTATCCATTTGTAGAAGCCATCCTCTCTTTAACTTCAGCTTTTTCACAGATGGCATCAAGTTACCATCCAAAATTTGCTGAAATTTTATTGAATCCATTTTTCCTTCTACTCGTGAGATGTTCCCTGTGCCACTGGCTGCAACACAACCCCAAAGCATGATTGATCCAACCCCATGCTTAACAGTTGGACAGAGGTTCTTTTCATTAAATTCTGTACCCCTTCTTCTCCAAACGTACCTTTGCTCATTCTGGCCAAAAAGTTCAATTTTAAACTCATCGGTCCACAGAACTTGTTTCCAAAAGGCATCAGGCTTGTCTATATGTTCATTTGCAAAGTTCAAACGATGATTTTTGTGGTGAGGACGCAGAAGAGGTTTTCTTCTGATGACTCTTCCATGAAGACCATATTTGTACAAGTATCTCTTTATAGTGGAATAGTGTACCACAACTCCAGTGTCTGCCAGATCTTTCTGGCGGGATCATGCAGTCAAACGTGGGTTTTGAATAGTTTTTCTCACAATCCTGCGAGCTGTTCTGTCTGATATTTTTCTTGGTCTTCCAGATCTTGCTTTAACTTCCACTGTTCCTGATGACTGCCATTTCTTAATTACATTCCGAACAGAGGATATTGACATCTGAAAACGCTTTGCTATCTTCTTATAGCCTTCTCCAGCTTTGCGAGCGTCAACTATTTTCAGTTTCAGTTTTCTAGACAACTGCTTAGAAGAACCCATGGTGCTGATTGTTGGGGCAAGGTCAGATGAGTCTGGGCATTTAAAACCTTTGAGATTGACATCACCTGGTCTTCCCAGACGATTGAGAACAATCCATGACACTGGCAGGTCTCAGCTTTGCAAAGGGGGCAGTGCATGCTATAAATTCTGCAGGGTGCCCAAACTTTTGCAGACGCCATTTTTTTGTTTTCTGTTATTTTGAAAGTGTAAATGATGGAAATAAAATCTAACTTTTGTTGACATATTATAAGAATATCTAATCTGTAATTTGATGCCTTTTGGAGATTTTTCCATCTTTCCTTGGCTTCTTTATGCACATTAATACAAATTTTTAGCTGGGGTGCCCAAACTTTCGATCCCCACTGTACATACAGTATAGAGATATGTCTCAACTTCAAGACTAACCAACCTGCAACATCTTCAAGCCTATTCATGTGATTCTCTGTTCACACAATACATTCTAATTTTAAAGTGTAATTCCACCTTCTGGCCAAAGATTACACCTAGATATAGTGTTGGCATCATATGTACTTAATTCCTACTCAAATGTTTTTTTTTTTTTTTTAACTGTACGTCAAATTGCCAGCTAGCAGATGGGCAGCATTAAAGTGTATGTAAACCCTAATAAGAGCATCTTCCTATTTGCTTTTTTTTTTGTCTGTTCAATATACCATTGGATGGGTTTTGCAACTAGCAAAGGAAAGTTGGGGAAAAATAAAAACATCAGCATGTAAGCCATCATCCAGCATTTCCAGGTAGAGAGTTAAAGGCAGCCTATATGCAGTATTTCTTCCTTACGTGTTTGTTTTAAAGCCTCAGTTTAGTGAAAATTTTAAACATAAAAAAATCAGGACATTAAAGGACTTATTGTTAGTATGATGTGTCCCTTGTGCAGAATCATCTTCTTTTAGCTGAAATCTTCCTCCATCCTGTGCTACCTTCCCCAACTGCTGTAATCCTCCAGTGTTGCAGGGATTGTTTCAACTAAAAGACTTTCAGGAGTTCTCATGGGTTGGGGGCTGGCACAGGAATTATGATGGAAGACAATTTCTCCTAAAAGAAGAAATATCAGCACAAATGACAATCACATTAACTAAAGTACGTTCCTTGTGCAGATTTCTGGAATTTTGATGTTTGCTAAACCTAAGTTTTAAGGGCAAAACTATAAGAGTTCTTATTTGCCAAAATGAGCTCTGTTGTTCAGCAGTAAGAGCCAAAAAGATTAAAAATAATAGTCACATGGCTGAAAATAACTGCCACGGCAAACAACTTATGTACTAAAACATAATCAATTGAGCCTTAAAGCTCAACTCTGTGCACAAAAAAAATACATTTGCATCCCTCTACAAGGGTTAAATGTTCGTTAAGTACATGGGGGTTGCAGGAGTAATATTACTGACCTCTCCCTGCTCCAGCAGGTTCCCTGGATCTGTGCAATTGACCTCCTGCTGCTTCCTCTCTATGTTGTGGTCACAAACTCACCCTCTCCACATACAATACAGGGTTAGTAGCCCTGCATGATACGTGATAACACCAAGGGATTGACCACATCCCAGAGCTTTGAAGGAAAGAAAAAAACATAGCTGGAGTTGGGAGCCAGGTAAGTACTGCAGCCACATGTTCTACCCCCTAGACTTAAAGTGCATTTTCCATCAATAATTGCAATCAGTTTATACTATTATTACAACTGTGAAATCTTATATTTAAATGCACCTTTACGTTTCAAAGGGCTCTTTGAAGAGTTATATGGGATTTTAATTCTTTTAGGGGGATTTAGGTTTTAGGGGTTAAGGCGTTATGTCTTTTTTGCATTGCTATATTAAATAAATGATACAGGTTTTTACACAAGCAGTGCAGCTGATTACTTTTTTTGAGGGGTTCAGTACTACTTTACATTCCAGTAACTGTCATTTTACCATAAATCAGCCATAGAGATTTAAAGTATCTGAATTAGAAATTAGTCAATTTATATTTCATGTGGTCATCCAACAAACGGAAGGCACTTGTGGCTGGAAATAGACCTTTGAAGGCAATTTACAGTAGGAAGCAGAAAAAAGAGAAAGCCCAGCTCAGCAGACATTGTTATCCTACTTTTGATGCCTTTGGAATACACACCAAATATAGGTCAGCAAAATTACACTGACTAATTGAGCAGTTCACATGGCACGTCAGAGATTGTTTGATCTACTTTGCACCGCGTTTGATTGGACGCCATATGTGCTATTGAACTGCATTGTCAAACTGAGTTTGTAGTTCTAATACATGTATTACCATTTCTTTGACAAAACACCCATGGACTTGAGCCCTAATATGTTGATGCAAATCTATAGTCCAGTGAGCTGGATGGAAGTGGGAAGGTTATGATGAGAGCAGCTAATCTGAAATAGTGGTGTCATTCTCTGGCTATAGGGTGTCAATGGTTTGTGAACCACAAAAGTGGCTGAACATGTTTTGTTTCTATTTCTACCATATCTTTACCTATCTGGCTGCAACACTAATAACTGAGAATTTGAATCTCAGAAACAAACTAAACACATGTGATGTCCAAGTTGTCGGGGCCTTGTAAGTGTGGTCTATCCACAAGGTCTTCACTTGGCCCATGCAAAGCTCACTGGTTTTTAATATATCGAGAGAAATAAAGCTTTTGTAAAACTGAACAGACTGGATAATATCCAGGTCAGTCCACTGTCCCACCATGCCGAATGCATCATCTTTCCAGGGCCAGCATCAATTAATTGGTATGTAAAGTCTGTAAATGTATTGTTTTACATAATTATTCTATTTTCACAGTTGGATTGTTAATTAAATATAATAAAAATCAAAAGGCAAGAACAATACAGAAATATAAAATATAGCTCAGGCACAAATTTTATGAAGTTAAAGACATACCTCATCATCTTTGTACCAAGACAGGTTCTCCGCTGTAAGGACAAACCAATATTCCTTTGAACCGCCTTTCATTATACCAATGTTGTTAATGGTCAGCCACCCCTTCCGGATGACCTGTTCAATGAAAGGTGAGCTTGTCACTGCATGGAAGACACTGGTACACAACACACATACCCAAACTGACTCTCATTCATCAGTACATCTGAGGAGAAACTGCTCTCAATGGCAACCCACCAGACACTCCTCTTCCTACTCCTAGAGCAGCAAGGGAGTGCAAAGGGAACACTCTTATTGGTTGTTATGGGCTACATTTACTGTCTGAGGCAGTCCTCCTCTCTGACACATTGATAAAATGAGGTTTCTTGTGTTTAGTGATACAGAGAATTAAGAATGACAAAAACCATCTGCATGCATTTGACACGTTAAGGTTACACAGCAACTTATTTAAAACAATAGAAATATACAGTTTTACCTGCTCTCTTTAAAAGCTGCTGATGACATGTAGCAGATCAAATCAAGAAAACAAAATGTATAGTATTGAAGCACGATTGCTTTTAGTGCTTCTGTAATCTGCCATATGTTGGTCCATAAGGTGAACAAAACTCAACTGCAAAAAACTGCAGAGTTCACAGAACATGATGTGGAGAATGCAGGAGGCAGTATGAACGGGTGTTCAGTGAACCCTACGAGCTGGACCATCCAAGTTCTATTCAACCCTAAACTAAACAGAAAAATGCCTGTGTACACATACCATAGGGAATCAGGTGCATGTGGCAACAAAGTACCTCGGTCACTGGACTATGTGTCCATCAGGCTTTAACCGGTCAGTGTACACAGGTCAACAAAAGCATCATTGGTTCAAAGAGACAGCGTGTCTAGATACTTTAACAAATCTTAAAAACGGACAGAGTACTTGAAAGCTACACACACACACAAATACTGGTTATTATTCAATTCTTAGAACTTGGGGTCACTAGGAAGCCAAATTAAACCTGTCCAAACCTGGGCAGTTCAAAAATGTATATGGTGTTGAAATGTATAGGTTGTAGCTACCTTCAGTGAAAACTGCATGTCAAAATGATCAGCAGACCCGGAGATAGGCAGCTGAAGTTATACCCAGATCTCCCCTCTTAACACCTGAACCTCTATACTGGTCACATTAAAGGAGCAATAAGAAAACTCTGAAAGTGATGGAAGTTGCGAGCTAAGCTTTAATTGGAAAAGCTGCGCTTTGCATTGATAAAGAAAAATAATCATTACATTATACGTTTTACTAATTGTTAAATGGCAATATTGCGGTAATATTATAGAATGCATTTTACTTTGCAGGAAGATACTATTCTTAAAATGTATTGGAATTTTTTTTGATAATGCCCTTGGAAGGTTGTGTTGTACAGTCTTGGACTGATAATTTGTCTCCTAAAATTGTACAGTGAGGCATTTCAGGCTATGGATTACGGCTGAGCTGATAAGATGTTCCAAAATAACAGAAATACAGGTCTCTTGCAAACATGTGTACTGTATGGCTTGTGGAAACCTTAATACATTAACATGAAAAAAATGTTTAAGCCCTTTCTGCCCCCTCCTGGCAGCCCTTTAGAGCCAGCCATATATGGTTTGAATCCCGGGCGGTTCAGCAGGGACTGACAGGGTTTTGAACCATCTATGGGCAGACTGATTGTATATAAGTCGATTGTTGTATGACTTTGGTACAACCAGCATGTCAGATTTTTTATGCATTTATTGCTAGTGGCTAATATATCCACTAGCAGTATTCACTGTGCTGTCCCTACTGGGAGAACACAATATCTGTGTGTGTGTGTGAAAAGATCGATTTTCTTTCCTGCAATCCGTTGTTGCAGAAAAAAAAAAAAAAAAAAAAAAAAATCACATTATGCATTGCCTGTCTAACCCTTTAATTGGGTCGTAACATTAGGAGGTGGGGTGGACTTCCTGATAACTTGAGAACTGTGACTGGCTCTCACAGCAGCCACATGATAGGAAGACTGGGAGCTGTCTGTGCTGGGAGTACATAGTGAGCACAGAAACCTCGGTCATCATGGACACGTGTAGGTGTTAATGCCCAACCTCCCTGCTGCCTACCATATGCGTTACGTGGTTGGCAAGAGGATAACGGAGGTCTTACATGGCAACTGCCCTAAAAAGTTTGTTTTTCTTTGAAGATGCTAAATTTGGCTCAGTCAACTATATCACGTGATAACAGCCATGCTGATCTTTTCCTAATCCTGCTTTATTATTGTTAATCTTCATTTTGACTTTGTAACTCTTCTTTTCTAAATAAACTTTCAAAACTGTTCATTGTGAGCAGAGGTTACTGATTTTCTTTATTAGAATGTAAATTTAGCCACCTATATCTGCTAGAGATATTGACTTGTGGATTCCACTGAAGGTAAACTCTGCTTTAATTTAAAATTATGCTGTGAAGCACCCAGGTTATGACACATTTACTTTAGCCTCTCTAAAGCTGGCTGTACACTATACAATCTGATTGTAAAATCTCCCTTAGCTTTCTCTAAACTATGTAATATGAAGACAAAGCTAAACAATTCTGTTAATTAGCGTCAAATCCAGCAGGCCATTATACTACATAGTTGATGGTAGATCTAAAAAGAGATTATTTAATCAGACTGTATAGTGCATGGTCAGCTCCTCTACAGCGATCATAAAAGAATTGGATTGTTGAAACGATTTCATGATTTTAAGAATAAAAAAAAAAAATCTCCTCTCTTGCCATATAAGTTATGCCGCCACTGTTCCTTGAAATAAAAAAAATGCTACTTTAATTTATAGTATTTAACATGTGTCTGAGCAAATTATTCGAATGCATTTTTAATTCTACATTTTGTGCTTAAAGAGAAATGTGCAGTAAAACATACTGACCATTTACAAGGCAGCTTGCATTGGCCCCGAAGCTGGTAAAAACGGAATTATAACTGGGCTACCACACACCTATGTTCTTTGCAGCATTTTATTACATTATATAAAATAAACATAAAAAACTGTATTAACGAAATTGTGCTAAAAATACTGACTGTGCTTTAATTAAATATCTGTATTTATTCAAATAGAACATATTACGGGACATTTAGATATAACCATGTGGCAGAGAGGAGACGCAAAATGGGCCAGTGGTGCCCAGTATCTGAACATCACACTATTATGAGGCCACATAAGGAAAAGTTAAGCGTGAAAAATGGTGGGGTCATTACGCTGTTTGAAGGCAGGAATGTGATAAGCTGTGGTTAGGAGACGCATGCACACACCTCAGGCAAAATCTGCAAACTCACTCGAAACACAAGAGCAAAACATCGGCCATCTTGTTCAGTGCTCGGCCAGGCCAGACAATGAAATGGCAGCAAGCCTCCGTCTGCTAAATAGGCAGCAAACATCACGATTGTGCTCTGTCACTAAACAGAAAAAGCTTGCCAAACCCAGTGATCTCATATCGGTAATTTGAACACTGCTCTCTTCCAGCGAAGCAGATAGAATGGATGGAATTGCAGTCTGCGAGATGTTTAACTCCAGGCCTTTCAAAGCTTTTCAGTGATCAATCTGGTCATGAGATGGAGCCCACTTCTAATGCATACTGTATGTCCATAGAAAATATACAATTTTTATTAGGAGCTTTCTTCATTTATATGACTCTTTCAACAAAACCATTTTTGTTATGGTTTGATAATATTTTTAGGGCTGGGAAAATCGGGGTACTTCAGTGAAATGTGCCATTTTGGTAAAGTTCAATGTCAATGGGAAAGAGGAAATTAAAGAGCCTATGCCTTGTGAGAATCACAGAGGCTGCCATTGCTGACCTCTCTTTTAAAGAATTTTAGTTCCCTAAATATCATGGAGATAAATTTTGCTTCAATGCCTTCTGAGGTGCTGGCCTGGAACAAGTATAGAAATAAAAGCACTTTTCTGACATTTACATTGCTGCACCATGGTAATGCATTGCTTATCTACTTTACCGTTTACCTTACCTTTTAATCTATGCATGAAGGCAAAAAGCCTTCTGAGTGCAGCTTCCCCCCCCCCAGCCTCCCCTTATACTTCCCTGATCCTGATCCCAATCCAGAGATGTGTGATGAAAGCAAAGACTCTCTCACTTCTCATTGGCCCAGAGACAGCAGCAGGAGTCATTGTCAATCACAGCCATCGAGGAAGGAGGGGGAGGGTGGGTCTGAGACGTGCTCTGTGTGTCTATAAGACACACACAGGTGCCTCGCACGCATGCCCGCATGAGTGACCCCCCATAGCAAGCAACTTGCTATGGTAGGCACTCGGTGGAGGAGAGGGGCCAGGAGTGCCTGCGGGGGACCCAAGAAGAGGAGGATTGGGTCTGCTCTGTGCAAAACAATGCACAAAGCAGGTACATATGATATGTTTGTGTTTATTGATTGACTTTAATAATAAAGCTTTGGAATCACTTTAATTTCTAAAGGCTACTCAAGGGGATGCATATGCATTGTGCTGAGCTGTGTAGTAAAAACAAAAGGTGCATGTCCAATTTTTTTTTTTTTTTTTTTAACAGGCTACCTAAAACACAACATATGCAAAAAATATGTATTACCTCTACACACTAGGATGCCAAGGTCCCTTACAGCGTGCTTGTTCATTTAAAGGTTATCTTCCCCTTTTGAATCATGATACACATAGTTAGGATGAAACATGGTGCTAAGCAACCCCCCACTCCCAAAAAACCTCAGTATGATAATGTGTGAGAGATCCTCCCTCCTGCAGCAGGTGACACTTTATAATTTTGAGCAGTGAAGCCCCACACAGCCATGTCATTCATTTGCAGAGAACTGTGAATGAATGAACCAAAATTACAGCTTGCCACCTTGGCAAAATAGCTTGTAGTTCTCACTGGAGCACAAATGTGGAGACCACTGCACTCATAATTCACTGACATTACCTCCAGCTCAGTAACTGAAAGCCCTCATCTCAGTACAGGAAAAGAGCTGGAGGAAAAGTCTGCTGGAGCTTGTGCATTGCACCCAATCCACTGAATGCGGTTGCAATACTTAGCAGGCTCATTTGCAAAAAAATATTAAATATTTTGCAGCAAAAATGGGTGCATTTATTTAAGTATTTATATTTTTTCAAAAGGTGGACTTTTAGACTTAAGCCTTTAAATAAGACACAGCCAAGCACCTAGCATTTACTTAAAAAATCCAGCAATGACAGTCCCTGTACTTCCCCGTAGCAGGTGGCATTATGTAGGCATTAAATGGCTCCTAAGGTCAACGGAAGCTCCACTCAACTACTCCTAACCTGTCAATAGCCTCATTATTTTACTTATTTTTCATAAAAAGAAAGCAGTAAAACAACTAAATAAAAAAGCAAAAGTACACAAATAACGACCACATAACACAAAGAATACAAAATTAAATAGACTAAACTACCCTAAGTACACTGGAAAACCACACCCTTAAAAAAAACAACCAAGAAACTGTTTTACAGTTTACCTCAAATTCCATCTGTTTTTAGTTCACAGAGAAAAAAGAAAAGCTTGTTTTATTTGACCTTATAGTGTTGCTCCTGAATTATACCTCACACTCATATTATCTCATAGTGTTATACCTTTGACAAAAAAAAATGGAAGCTTATTAGTTTCTATGCACCAGATTTTGCACGCTCCAGTTTTAGTAAATCAATCCTGTTTCCTTCTGGGAAGTTTTCCTATCGTATTTTTATCCTGGAGATGCAACAGGAAGTGAGTAAAAATCTCTCCAAATGAGGGGAAATCCCCATATAGACAGCTGTGTCTCAGAGCTGGTGTTACAATTAAAAGACTTCCTCTGTATTCCTGTTATTTTATAACTATATAATTCTGGATTTCCCATTACGTTCAATAGGGGGGGGGGTCTCCCTTCACTTCTGTCTCTGATGACTGTCTATGAAAGGATTGGGTTTACTTTGAAGAGATCTCCACTCACTTCCTGTTTCTTGATATGGGAAGTGAAGGAAAATCTCCCTATGGGACATACTGTATAAGGCTGCCACCTTTTCTGGGAAAAATATTGAACTTATGACTATTTAATAACATTGGCAATATGTAACATTGCTTAAATAATGAGCAGGTGACAACCCTACACACTGACAGCAAATAAAACAAAAAAAACTAGTAGGATTTCAGCCATTCCCTACTCTTTCCAAACCCCCCCCAAAAAAAAAAACACTTTAGAAATGCTTTAAAAGAAACAGTATAACAAAACCATCTTAATATGTCATGGATTTCTGTTAAGGCTGGTGGCCATTTAGTCACCTAGGCCGGTTCACAACACGAATCGCATAGGAATGCGTTGTGCGATTCACAGGTGATGGGCTGAAATCATCCAGCATGCACTACTTTACAAAACGCACAGCACCTGGACCTGGGTTTGTGGTGTTGTTAAGTTAACATTGACACCGAATGCATGTTGCTAATGCAGTGTGGTTTGAATGCAGTGTGGGAAATGTGCACAGAATGCTGGTTTCCTGCACCATGTTCTGGTCTGAACTGGTATTTAAACTGCCTTGCCAGTAAAAATTACATTTATAGCAAATACTGTAAATGGAAAAGAGGTAATAAGACTGATATTTTTAACTTCAAAAAGGTAGCAACCTTAAGCTGGCCACACACAGTTCAAATGTTGGCTGACTCCTGTGTACTGGCTGAAATTCCAGCCATGGGTGTCCCTGCGGATACCATCAGGCTCATCATACTGGGAAACTGAAGAAGCCGGGTGGAAGAGAGTTAGCCAAAGAGTGACTACAGCAAGTCTGCTGCAGTCTTTGTTCACATACTCTGAAGACTCGTTAATATAGCCGCCCTGCAGTTGGTTGATTTGCAGAGGGTATTTGACAGGCAGGGAGGAGACTATATTTACTGCCTGTTTTATTTCTGGTGAATTGCACATGGTTGCAGTGCAGCCCTATTCACTGGAACCGGCAGTACCATTGGATGAAAGTGCCTTGCTGTTTAATGTTTGCTGCAGCTATGAAGCGAGGCTTCCAAGACGCAGCATGCATACAGCTCTGAGCAGCTGCTTGCCCTTGTTCAGGCAGTCAGTTGGGGGTAGTAAAACCACAGCTAAATCGATTTTACTGCATGTGAATGAGCCCTGGCAGCCATTGGTACCGACTGTATGAACACAATATCCGGCAGTGGAAGACTCCTCCATCTATGCTATTTAGTGTGGACGGGGAAGTCTATGGATTTCTCTTGATCAGCCAGCTGAACATCTGACATCCTTACTCTTATGGCCAGCTTTACTCCTTGTTTTGCGGTTAGAAACAAACCTGAGATTCTTCACTCTGAAGTTCGATGTACTCATTAGCGTATCAGCCTCTGTTCCAGCTCAGTAAAGCATTACTCTCTAAAGGAGGTCTGGATTTTGAAGTAATAACATGGCTGCCAAAATAGTGGTGACAGCCTTCTAGACTGCGACAAATATAATTTATGAGGGTGACGTGGCTGCCGGTCCAGGTCTGGAGTGTTGACTCTCACACACAGTGTTAATAGCAGGAAAGGAACAGGAGGAAGGGACATGAAGACATACAGGGGGAGACTGAGCAAGGCAGGAGGGTGCATCTGGGGCTCCTTAAAATTCTTTTCTAAGTGCTTCATCCTGTGTATAGTAATCAGAGTGTGGTATAGTCTCCAGTGTACTACAAGGTAAATTGAGGACAAGCATGACATGTTCAGAACGGATTATAGTAAGTCTGTGGCTATGCAGATGAACACTTTCCGTATATTCTAAACCACTTTGTTATAGAAATAAAGTGTTTGCATCCTGAAATGTATTTTGAACGCACTTTACAATATGGTGGCCTCTAAAGTGTACGCAGTTATTCTAACAGATCAATTCATGTTGCATGATTTATTTTCTGTCTGGCTGTGATTAATGCCAGCAAAATGGTGGCCCTGATGCACTCTCGCTGCTTGGCGCATCAGCCGCTGCCTGACTACTCACCAGGATCTCATCCTGCACAGGGTAACCATAGCAACAGCAGCAGAGTGGAGAGGAGAGAGAGGAGCAGAAGAAGAGGGATATACATTACTAGCAGCGCGGGTGCAGAACCAAATATGCCTTGCTGCAGATCCCACAGCCCGTGCATGACATCTGGCAGAGCCTCACCTCACACACACACATATAAGGCACACGTGCCAAGCCTGCGGTCCGCAATGTTGCACGGTACATGACCGGAGATTAATGACATGGACAGCCTGACGCTGCAGCCCGCCGTCTAATTCTCTGCCAGCCAAGTGATATGATCCAAATGGGCCTTACTGGATTACATAACAGATGCCAGCAAACGGAAATGTTAAAGCAGGCCTAGATCACCACAACACTGTTGGTTTTGTATGCCAAGAGGCTCTTTAAACAGTATCGGTTAGCTGCTTTGCCCTGCCTTCCAGCACCTTACTGAAGGCATTGTCTGAGCTTTTCAGACTGGTAATTGTATCATTAGGCAGATCTGTTTATTTTAGCTATTCTGAAGGATTAGCAAAATCATGCTTGCCACCCTATTTCCAAAAAAGCAGACATAATCTGTCGCATCTGCCCAATAATCTGCCCAAAAAGAGACAACACTGAAAAGCACAGAAGGCGGCAGCAGCAATAGTACTGTATTCAGTAAAGCCTGCGAGGCAACACAACTCACAGGTTATACTCGACAGCCTGATAAACAGCTGAAAAAACCAAATGGTTAGATTACACAAAAACAGCATTTCATAATCAAAGCAAGGATTACCCTGTGATACACATTTGCTTATAATTAAGAGGATCTACATATAAAACGTTTATTAGCATATACAAATAAATATATGGGATGTAGCTGTGCTCAGCTGTCCTCTTCAGTACTTACATTCAAAGACACTACAATCAGTTTCAGATACACAGCAAATCCCAAAGAATGTTAAAGACCAACTCCAGGCAACTTTTATTTTAGTTTTGGATAGACCTGGTAAGTTACTTAAGTTTTTATGCTACCTGTGACCTCATTGTGATATTAGGAGAAGAAGTGGGGTAAATGGTCGTCACTGAGAAAAGGTTGGAATCTCTGTCAGGTTTTTATTGCCAAACCATTCAAAACACAAACCAGCACCAAGAATTCAAAACCCACAAGCATAAGTACCCCCTGAAACAAATGTCCGTACCACAAAGACTGTATGGAAAACTATTACAAATTTATAAATATATATATATATACGTGTGTATTACAAAGTTATCAAAATGTATATTTATGTATTTTGTAGTATAAACACCTATGTATGTGTTTATTCATATATAGGTTTATTTGGTGAATTATAATACATAGATTTGAAGGAACTAAAGCTTCACACACAATATAATAGTGCAGTGAGTGAACTGACATGAGTGGTACGTGCCACAAAGTAGACAGACCCGTTTAATGAGTCTGTCTGTGCCACCTGCCACCCCCCTCAAAGTGAAATAGAAAATAGTTCAGGTTTTGTGTCTAATTAACAAAATGCTCATGGCAGTTTTCAATATAGAAAACTGCTGCAGATCCCTATCCGATTGGACCTGGCGGACAGAAAGTGAACTCTTTTTATACTCTGGCAGACAGCTTACATGCCTTTCTCTGCTTCTTTCCATGCCTATATGCCTGGCTGTTAACCCCAGCAAATAAGTGGAGTTGGGAGGAGGCATCAAAGGGAAATGGAGCAAGTGGCTGCAGCTTTCCTGCTCTCTATTCCATGTTTGGTACGAACATGGTATAAAAAACAGAGCAGGTCATGCCCTTTGTTAATTAGGGGCAGGATCCTCTCTGCTTTATTACTTCACTGAGCATATGCCATGCTAATTGCCCCTCATCATGTATATGTTTTACTGACCCAGGTCAGTGCCATCCAGAGGTTTGTTTTAGTGACATGATGGATGATAACTTCTAGGGACTGGGGTGCTGGTAGTCTTCTTTTCTGGGGAGTGGTTGTGTGCTTTAATTCTTTGGGTCATATCTGTGGGGTGTTGTGCATTTGTATAGTGCCATGCAGTTATTTTTATTCTTTTTATACAATGTTTGTGGTGTGAACATTTGTTTTAGGGAGTACTTTTTCTTGTGGGTTTTAGGTTTTTCTTGCTGTCCGGGTCCCCACTGGGGAGATTCCTCACCCCTTCCTGGCCCACAGACACTACAGATAAAGGAAGGGTATTTCCAGAAACTGAGCAGAAATCACATCTTTGACATCCGTCACTGATACAAATGCCCCTTCTGGAAGATCCACCCTCATCTCTTGTCCTATCCTATGATAGAAAGTGATTGGAAATCTAATGAAGACAGGAAACAACAAACCCCCCTTTGGTGGAGCTAGAAAAGTTTAATACTTCCATGGGATATTTATTGCTGTGTGTGTTTTCCTTTCCCAGTGAACCCCCATACCTATCTATATCTGTCTTTGTGTCATGATATAAAAATTGAGGGGAACTCCTATATTTTTTGTTGGTTATAAAAATAGAAAAAAGTGTTGTCTGCAGTTGCCCTTTAATACTAAACAACAATATCATTACAAAATTATACTGAACTTCCCCAGGGTCCAGTGATAAAGGGGAGCAGCAGGGCAAACATGGATGCCTTTAAAAAATGTTTATCTTTATACAGTTATCCTTGAGTTCAAATTCTTCAGCCCCCTCCCCAGTTATATACACGCATGTTCATGCTCCTGTCAGATCCACCCTGTGTGGCCTGCGAGGGGTGGCTGTGGGGCCCTCAGTCTGGATCTAGCAGAAGAATGGACTGGTGAGTTATTAGGCTGTGGGAGGCCTGGGATTCTATTACACAATGTTGGCAAATATGAAGCAAGAACAATTTTAATATAAAAAAGGTGCAAATGTTTAAAAGATAAGCTGCGATTACAGCTTTTTCATCTCATTTAGACAAGCAGTGATCCCCATTTCTTTACAATAGACTCCCCCACCCTCCCCAAAATGGGGCATAACCTGCTGTGAACAATGCAGTGGGACCCTTCCTCTCACACTCTTAGAGGAACTGAATTTATTCTCTCTTGAGAAGAGGAGGGGGGATATGATCAACATGTATAAATACATCAGTATTTCATATAGTGAACTCAGTGTAGAGCTATTCACCCTGAGGTCAACACAGAGGACAAGGGGGCACTCTTTACTTCAGGAGGAAAATACATTTAATCTCCGAATACGGAAAGGTTTCTTCACAGTGAGAGCTGTGAAAATGTGGAATAGACTCCCTCAAGAGTTGGTTCTGGCCAGCTCAGTGGATTGCTTCAAAAAAGGCCTGGATTGTTTCTACGATACACAGAATATAACTGGATACTAACATTCATAGGTAAAGTTGATCCAGGGAATATCCGATTGCCTCTCGGGGGATCAGGAAGGAATTTTTTTTCCCAGCAAGAGCAAATTGGATTGTGCTTTACTGGGGGTTTTTTTTTTTGCCTTCCTCTGGATCAACTGTGGGTATAGGATTATAAACTTTTTTTTTTTTTTTCTATGGTTGAAATGGATGGACTTTTGTCATTTTTCAGCCAGACTAACTATGTAACGATGTACAATGCTGGCGGCCAAATGTCCGCTACACTAATCATAGTGATAAGCAGTGAAATTCATCAGCAATGCACGGCTCTTCCTCTCAAACTCTCCTACTTCACCATCACTACATAAGAGGAGTCTGAGATGAAGAGTCTTGCTGTGATGATTACAGTGATGGTACTGGGACTACTGGAGTGGGGGTGTGGGTCAGCTGCCCCATTATTATAATGACTGCACAGGCCTTGGCGTAGGTTATCACTCCATAAAATTACACTAGTTTATGGCGGTTAAAATAAGTAGGTCTCTATAAGGGAAGCAGGCGATACTACTTCTAGTTGAGTTAAGATGATTAAAAAGCAGAGAACGCTGATTCTTGAGATGCAATGCCTTATATAATTGTATATGAAGAGAAGACATTTTGATGAGATAATAATCATGAGATTGACAAAAAAAAAAGATAGGTAAAATAACTAAATAGTGAACTGGCCCTATATGTTGGCGTGCAGTCCTGTGCTGCATTGAACACATGCTAGGCATGAAAATGCCAGGTTATAGGCAGTATAAATCACTACCTGTCTGAATGAACCCTTTCTGAGGTTTTTAAGTGTTTCTATTTAAAAACAGATAACAGATTTGCATCTGTTATACACTGGCAATCTGTGATTATTGCTGAGGTCTACACAGACATGTAAACCTCCATTTTGTCTTGTATGTAGCAGACTGAAGTTTGTTTGTAGAATTTAAACTTAATAATCTTAGACTTACAGAGGATGAGAACCCTGACTGTCACCCAGCATTATCCTGAGACCCCCTTAAATGAACACTAAACAGACATATATGTATATTTCAGTTATCCATATTGGGATGTATACGTCATACCCACCTGGTTTCCAGATGCTTTCTTCTTGCTCATTTGGCTGCTCCTTTGCTGCGCACTATAATAAAGAACACATTTTCTTGTCACCAGTCTGTACAGATTTCCCAAATTCCACTTGTACATACACCAAACTTAACATGTAACTTCCCAATTCCCCACAATTCTTGTGAACAACAGCAGCATTCCTATCTCATTGTTGCAAAACCTGTCAGTACCTTTAAGGTACCAAACAGCACAAAATAAATGCCACCCTGTGTTGGCATATACTTTTAAGTGACTCTTACATGCTAGGGGAACTCTGAAATCAATATGCAAATTTCACTTGCATCTTGCCAGCTTTGGGCACACTGTTAAGCATCTGACCATACGATTTCATGTATACCTGATATGTGATTGATAGAGATCTTTCAGGAAACACTCAAAGCAAAAGGACAAAGGTTGTTATACAAGGTTTGATAAATATATACAGTCTAATGCGGCCCAAAACCTACAGCCCTAATGCCAACAAAGAAAAGAAAGGTGAGCAAACTTTGTCTGAAAAGGTTTCTCTCTGTCTGAAAAAGCTTTCTCGAGAGAACTGTCATTCGCCATTTCTGTCTCTTGGTTCTGTAAAGTCTTAAACAAAAATTTGTTAACAATTGCTTCTTCATACTACAACTTGTGAGTAATAGTTTCCTTGCACTAAAATCAGTGAACTTCGAAAAAAAACTGCAGCAATTGCTCACCATGCATCTGTTTGGAGCACTGCGCTTTTGTCCTGTGATCACTTGCTTGATTGCGTGACTAAAATCGCCAATGTTTTTCCATCCCTGTTGTCAGATTTTTACAATTTTTTTATACCAATGGCATCTTAAAAAAATATGTATTTAATATATTTTCTTTATTATGTAGAGGACAAGAAACAAAACAAATTTGCTGAAAGTAGAAGAACCATGCGGCTGGGAGGAACAAAATTTTAAAGTTTATGTCAACCTGAAATAATTTTTTTTCAGTATGTTTGGTATCATGCCTCACAGTATCATTACCCTGTCACGGACACCTACCAATCATTGTTTATGGGATCCGGAAGATAGCCAGAGTGGTCACATGATTACAATCCCACCCCTGCGCTTTCAGATCCTGTTAAAGAACTGGGGGTGATGGCAGTAAGTAGTTAAGCATTTATTATATTATTATATATTTTTGTTAATCCATTGCAGAGATTCTTACCTGGAGATCCTTCCAGCAATAGCACTTTCTGTTTCAGGCTAACAATGCTAAGCCACTATTTTACAATTACCAACAATTCTGTCAGCCTGTCATTGTGCACTCCTTCATTTGGTGTTAGACTATCAGGTTTGTAGGGTAGGCTGCCCAACAATCAGCTGTAGAAGTGCACATGGCAGGCTGACAACATTATTGCAATGCAGAGGCTTATATAGTCAGCCTGAAACAGAAGTACTATTACTGGCAGGATCTCCGATAAGAAACTTTGCAAAAGATTCACAGGATTGGAATTCTCTGCTCTTCTCCCTCTTCTTCCTGCAGTGATTTCAGGACAGACCAAGCAATGCTCTGTACTAGTATTGATGAATCAGAATCTCTCTGAATCGTCCCAGAAGCCCTGCTAAAAGAAGAGTGGGGATTTCAAATCCCCAGAACACTATGCCAGCTGCATTGGGACTGACAGCTCATCACCCACAAAAGGTAGGTACAGGGGGGGTGGCAATTTTTCTGAAAAGGTGAATTTACACTAAGAACCTTTGGATTAACTGTGGGTATATGATTGTTTATTTGGGTATAGGAGTGTTTATTTGAAGATTTTCTATTTGTTTATTTTGTTCTATTGGTTGAAATAGATGGACTTGATGAGGCGCGATGCTATATATATCCCTGCCATGATCATGTGATTTCATAGTGCAGTACTGTAAATATGACTACTATATTGTTGTATTTGTTGTTGAAACTATAGCCCCGTACTTAGCAAAGCCAATGAAATCCTCATGGTTCGTGTTCATGTAAGCCAGTTCTATGTCAATCAGCAGCATAACCTGTAGGAACAAAAGGCAATAAAATGTATAAAGTATTTGCATATTTGTTTGACCAAAAGTCACTAGATTTATATCTTAATGCGTGCCGGCTGGTTGTGACTGTTTAAGTTTGATGTAGAAGTATACACAATACAAACACCTCAACATTTAAAAGCTGCCTTTCCACTGCTCCACATTGCACTGCATATAATTTAGCCTGTATCACAATATAAACACTCTTCCTCCCCCCCCCAGTTTTTTAAGTGGTCATGTCACTACAAAGCTCCATCTGCTGGGAAGGATCTCTCACCCCTCTGACAATGCCTAGAGCAGTGAATGCTGATGCTGATGTGTATGGAATTCAGCCCTGTTGCAGTACTTACACATTTCACAAAGAAACTGGGTTCTGTGGTCACATGACCACACAGAAAAAAAAGGCATTTGAATTGAGATTTATGGGGAGCGGGCAGTGGGGGGACATTTAAAAAGTGCTGTGTTGTACAGCCTAATTTATATTACAAATATTACATATTTACAATGTACGTATAGCTGACTAAAAGCATCAGCTTTTGGAGGCCAATCTATTGCTAATGCAGTAAAAAGCTTCTAAATAATGGAGAGATCAGAATACACACACTGCAAACTTAGTCACAAAGGAGGGACACGCCCGCTCCCATTTTTACAAGGACAGGACCACTGCATTTCAGCTGTAGAAAGGCTGCCAACAAATTTTCAGGCATTGTAAACTGAATGTCATGGATGCACCCTGCACTATATATTTATTTGTAACATAAAGACTTGACATAAATTGTATGAAAGAAATGAAATTAAAGAAGTAAAATTCAAATGATAATTTTCCTTAAAAAATACTGAAAAATAGATTTATGGTTCCAAATATACCTTTTCTGGGAAGCTCACCTGGTCTTTTGTCCTTCCCTCTCGCTCCCGAATATGTGTGGTGACGATCCGTTCCATCTCCTCCCTTAGGTGGGGATACTGGCTGAGCTGCAGGAGACAATTTACATCTGTGTGGGACAAAGCTAGAAGCAACTGAATGGCTGAGCATACTGTGTACACATTTAATAATCTACAGTGTAAATAAGGCAAGCAACACAAAGCTAGGAAGAAGGGAAAAATCGCCAAAACATGAATTAGGGTTACACGTAAAATGAGTTCATGGCCTAAAATGCCGCAAGGAGCGTTGAAGCACAAAACAAAAGATTATTTCATATCAATAAAAAAGGTGAGTAAGCAGAGGAAACACATGCTCAATAGATCAATATGATTGCTGTCTTCCTAAGAAAAAGGTTGGATAGAACCGGATTGTTATAGACAATAGCTCCATATTTTGCCGAGCTTTCTTTGCATGTTCATAATTTAACCTGTCTTCCTGCCTGTGCCTGTAGGAATGATTTTGGCATCAATAGACTTTATTATTAGTACATGTCTGACCTATCTCAATTTTATTCCCTATCCTATACTATCCAATGCTTATTTTAAAATGAGAATACAGGAGGCTGGAGGACTGATTGACCTCTACAAGCTCCATGGGGGTAATGGCACCAGAGGGAAGAAGAAGTGGGCAGAGAGACCAGACTTGGCCTCTCCTCCTCTCTGCATATCCCTAAAAGTGTGACAAGGCAGAGCAGGGGGAACAGTGGTGGAGTATGCAGTTGCAGATTTACCAACTGGCTGAAAGATGTAGTGTCTCGGGTGCTGTGTGGCATAAAGGTGTAGTGTCTATAGTGGGAGTTCAGTGTCAGGGTTGCAGTGGTCTGAGTGCTGGATGGCAGGGAGGTTCAGAGTCAGAGGTGCAGAGGAGTACAGTGGTATGGGTGCTGGGCAGCAGAGAGATGCAATGTCAGGGTGCAAACTACCAGGGGTACCAGGTCCTTCATAGGCCTGAATACAAAAGCTGTCTACTTGTAAGCCTGCTGGGAGGCTTCTCTGGGTGAGCACCACCTGATATGTTGTAGGCTCCTGGACCGCATCACCCAATAATCTAAGGTGGTGCAAAGGGATTGGGGTCATTAGGATTAAATTATTTGAAAGTATAGTTAGCTTTTTAGGCCTCCTTCAGACCTATGTGTTGCAGTAATGTACATTTCACCATAATGATAGCACAAGGCACTCATTAATTTAGAATGGCACCCCAATGCACATACAGTTGGGGGCCAAAGAACTCACACTGCTGTGCACCACAACACGTGCCTGCAAAGAAAAAAAAAAAAGGCAGGCCTGTTTTTTATAATTCTGTTTCATGCACAAGCAACCCATTATGGGTAAAATAACTGCCTTAATGCAACACACAATAACTTGCATGTACTTTAGCAAACTGCAATGTGTTATTATTTTGATCTGCCCTCCTGGCCATGTGATGTTTGAACTATGAGGACTTAATGGTAAGCATTATTTGCTTTTTCAGAATTGTCCAGCTTATTAAATTTGACCTGCTATATTATATGCTTGAGATCTTAGCAAATATGTTTTAAAGCAGTTTAGAGTTTAATAATTTGGACATGGTTATTGTTAAAAAGAATTGTTATGCTATAAAATGATAAACACATTCCCTTATGATTGATTTTAACTTAAAGTGATCCTAATGACAAACTTTTTAATATTTAAAAATAACAAAACACATCATACTTACCTGCTTTGTGTAAAGGTTTTGCTAGAGAAGCCCAGGTCCTCCTCTTCTGCCTTTAAAAATACTTTAAATAACTTTCAAACAGCATTTTTTGAATGCTTCCTTGATCTTTCCCCTTTTCTCATTGTCCTGGTCTAACCCACCTTGCCCCTCCTCCGCTACATACTCCCACAACTCTGGCTTTGAGTCCACCAATGTTCTACAATAATGTTTATTGGAGTGTCTGTGCATGTGCAGTAGAACCACATAGACTTCTATGGGGTAGAAGACTGATCTGTCTCCCTGCCACATAAAAGTCTATGGGGTCCCACTGCACATGTGTGGAAGCAGAACCCGGACCCTGCGTTTAGGGACACTGCTGCTGACCTCCTATAACCTCCAGCGACTGCACATGCCAGCAATCAGCTTCTGGCACAGAAAGTCTTCCATGGCTAATAACTTATTTTCACCTCCTGTCCTTATATATCTGTAAAAAAAAAAAAAGTTTGAAACGTAAAAAAAAAAAAAAAAAAAAAAAAAAAAATGGTGGCATGGCTACATGGTGCTCCGTCCAAGTTATATACCGCATATTGTAACCTTTGGAATTTGGTTGGGTTTGTACCATTTCTTATGTACAACTTCTATTTCTATCAGTTAATTTTGAAAATAAAAATATTTGAAACAAACAAAAACTTTTGTGCATCTCTTTTAAGCAAATCATATCACAAGTAGGAGCCACAAATAAGTTATCAGTGATGGGAGATGTCCTGTGCCAGGAGCTGACTGCTGGTATCTGCAAAGATAGCTGCAGGTTAGAGATCATCAGCAGTTACTGTCACTGAATGTGCGGTTTGCTTTGGCAGTAGTGCAGAGTCTTTGGGATAAGCCAAAATGGTGTCATTACCTGATGCATGTGCAGTAGTGCCAAAAAGGTAATAATATTGTGTCACTACTATGCATGTGCGGTAGCATGACATTTAAAGCACTATTAAACCCAAAAGCAAACATTTATTATACTACAGCTTACCAATTCTTAGAAATGATGGCAGTATTCATTTTATTTTTTTAGGCTTTCTTTTTTCATATGTTGATCCAGCAATTAAGTCTGTTGTTTTTCAAAAGAACAAGCTCTCTTGTGGATGAGACAAAATTTACCACTGACAGGGGTGCTTACAATGATCAGCTTTTATATACTTATTTAAACCATTATACCAAAAGGAAAAAACTGTTTCCTGTGACTAATTTTAAAGTGTGAGCTGCAGTTTGGCTTCACATTGTTTCAAAATGTATCTAAATCTGTTAGTACATCTAACTCTACCCTCCCCCAGAGTGGGGTCATTCTAATACAGGTTTGTTACTGGCCAGATCACGATTTGAAAACAGAGGGTAAAAAAGCCTAGATGAAGAAAACTAATACAGCCACCATATCTAATGACTGTTAAGTTGAAATATATTACATTTTTGGTCTTGGGTTTAATAACGCTTTAAAATTAGACCAGCATCATTCAGATTATCTGTTTCCAAAAACTGTTACATTCAAGGCATGCAGTGAATGATAATGGTCACATTTTCTTGTGCTCTCAACCCAAAATATCAAGCCATCAAATGACTGGTGTCATAACAGATTACATGTGCAGCACAACGACAACTGGGATCATACAGAGGCTAAGATGGCAGCTTCCTTGGCTGTAAGGGAGAGGAAGGTTTAGTTCCGCTTTAAGAACTATCATAAGAAACTATTCCCAAATACAGACAAAAAACTGACTAGATGTTAAAGTGCATCTAAATCCAAAAACAAAAATGTAATACAGTTAGGTCCATATATATTTGGACACAGGCACAATTTTAATTTTTTTCAGGTATTTACCAAAACATATTCAAGCTATAGTTATATAATGGATATGGGCTGAAAGTGCACACTGTCAGGTTTAATTTGAGGGTATGTACATCCAAATTGGAGGAAGGGTTTAGGAATTTCAGCTCTTAACAATAGCCAACCCCCTAATTTCAAGGGACCAAAAGTATTTGGACAATTGAATATAATCGTAAATAAAATGTTCAATATTTTGTTGAGATTCCTTTACTGGCAATGACTGTCTGAAATCTGGAACCCATGGACATTACCAAAGACTGGGTTTCCTACTTTCTGATGCTTTGCCAGGCTCTAACTGCAGCTGTCTTCAGTTGTTCTTTGTTTTGGGTCTTTCTGCCTTTAGTTTTGCCTTCAGCAAGTGAAATGCATGCTCAATTGGGTTGAGATCACGTAATTGACTCGGCCATTGCAGAATATTCCACTTCTTTTCCTTCAAAAGCTCCTGGGTTGCTTTTGCAGTGTGTTTTGAATCATGGTCCATCTGCACTGTGAAGCGCTGTCCAATCAACTTTGCTGCATTTGGCTGAATTTGGGCTGACAGTATATCTCTAAACACTGCAGAATTCATCCCGCTGCTTCTGTCACCTCATCAATAAATACCAATGACCCAGTGCCACCGAAAGCCATGCATGCCCATGCCATCACACTGCCTCTACCATGTTTTTACAGATGATGTTGTGTGCTTTGGATCATGAGAGAGCTGTTCCAAGCCTTCTCCACACTTTTTTCTTCCTGTCATTCTGGTACAAATTAATCTTTGTTTCACCCGTCCAAAGAATGCTTTTCCAGAACTGGTCTGGCTTTTTTAGATGTTTTTTGGCAAAGTCTAATCTGGCTTTTCTATTTTTCAGGCTTATGAATGGTTTGCACCTTGTGGTGAACCCTCTGTATTTGCTCTCATGAAGTCTTCTCTTGATTGTAGACTTTGCCAATCCATAGAGAGGATCCTGCGATCATCCACCACTGTTGTCTTCCGTGGATGTCCATGCCTTTTTATGTTGCTGAGCTCACCAGTGCATTCTTCTTTCCTCAGAATGTACCAAACTGTTGATTTATCTCTTTGATGGATTTGTTTCGTTTTTGAAGTCTTACAATGGCCTGTTTCACTTGCATGGACAGCTCTTTTGAATGCTCGATGTAGGTTCACAGCAATAGATTCGAAATGTAAATACCACACTTAGAATAAACTCCAGACTTTTTACCTGCTTAATTGATGAAGAAATGAAGGAGTAGCCCACGCCCGGCCATGAAACAGCTTTTGATTCAATTGTCCAATTACTTTTGTTCCCTTGAAAAAGGGGGATGGCTACTCTTAAGAGCTGTAATTCCTAAACCCTTCCTCCAATTTGGATGCATATACCCTCAAATTAAACCTGAGTGGGCAATTTCAGTCCATATATATTATATATAGTATAGCTTGAATATATTTTGGTAAATACCTGAAAAATCTAAAATTGTGCCGTGTCCAAATATATATGGACCCAACTGTATATTTCAGCGATAGTA